GTGGTTTTTGAAGTATTGTTCTTGTAGAAGCTTGGCACTCACGTTCCATATAGTCTTCACAACTCCTTCTTTGTAATCTGACCCATCTTTCCGTTTCATATTAAACGCCCAGTCCTTCAAGATATTTCCCAATTCATCATTAGACGTCTAGGCCGTTAACTCATAGTTCCGTTGCTTGCAAAATTCTTGAAATTGTTTCCAAATGTAATTTTCAGTTTTTGTTGTATTCAATGGCTTTAAGTTGTCAATTGCTTCGTCAATATCTGCCAAAGAATTTTTACCAAAACGATTCATTTCATTTAAATTCAACAAATTTAATTTAATGACAAATTTGCTGTTTATTTACTCTCTACGTTACTATGGAAAAAGGTAAGTTGAATACTAGATTTTTGTCTAGAAAGACCTAGCGAAACACCAAAACGATTATATAACGTCGTCAAGGGTATGATCGATTATTATTAATACGTTGGTATCTAACAAAATTAAAGAATCTGATTGGTTTAAAGAATCATGAATTATATAATCAATTTCATATTTCTATAATTGAGTAATTCCGTTTTTCCGCTTTTAAATGATCTGCGTTAGTTGTACCTAACAGCTTTTCAGTTGGGATTACTGATAACATGTTCGCTTGTGATGTGGAATCAGTATGGCCTAGGCGGGCTGTTGGCCTGTTGGGTACATACTGCAGTTCTCGTTTGATTTTTTTTGTGAATAAGCTGATTTAAATTACTATGAACAAAAAGCAAGCTCACGGAAGAAGCAAGAAAATTGTTTTTGCGAGATGTACCAAGTAGATATTGTGAAAAATATAAGTTAATATGTATGTTCCGTATGTAAGAAATACGTGAACGAGGAGTGCGTGGGTCTCAGTGAAACTGATAAAGATATTTTTATTTCTCCTTATTCTGAAAATTAACAATTTGTTTGTCAAAAAACTTTTTTTCTGTGCTTATTTTTGTTTTTTTTTCGATTTTTTTAAAACAGGCCATATTGGGTATCTATGTACTCAATTTGGCCTAAAGACACACTTTAATTAAACCGGGTACTGTTGAGCTCTACAATTTTGAAAATGTCTGAAATTTGAAAATTATGTATAGTCTTTGCCATTTCTATTGAAACACCACTTATTAATAGTAAATTTGGCAACGTTCAAATTCAGACAATTTTCTATCTAAAAGTCGTTGTCAAGCAACCGAAAGCTGTTAACAACTGCTAAATTTTAAGCAAAATCAACAGGTGGTGTTTCAATAGAAATGGCAAAGACAATACAAAAATGTAACCTCTTTCAACTCCGACCATTACCAAGTTTTTACAAAAATTAAAAAAATTCTCAAAGCTTAGGTAGGCCTTATAGGGTACAGTGACCTTATTATGAGATGATATGGTCATCTAATTATTGGTGGGGATCTTTAGACAAAATTTGGTTAGCGTGTTACCATCTACATGATATCCCTAATATACAGAGTGTCCCAGAAATAAGTGCTTTAATTTTAATCAATTATAGAGTTCTTCAAATTCAACAACTTTTTTTAATAGGGCTTTGTTCGGAACTTTTTAGTTATCACGTTAAAAATTGTTTAAAGTTTTATCCCAATTATTTTATCCCCAGTCACCCATGGACACATAATTATTATAATTAACAGGAGTAATTAATTATTTACGGTCAAAATCACTGACTAGGATAAGTATTTTTCTAATCATGTCGGTCAACATGACAAACATTTCGAGAGAAATTGAAAGTGCTGTTCCAATAGTGTCCGGATTTTCATCGGCCCAAGTGTGGGTGCTGATTACACGTTCCCTCGTGAATCCGGCCTCATCAGTTGATGATGTAAGAGATACAAAATTTGTTTTTTCGTTTATTTTTCTATTAACCTACTCACAAAACTTTGCCTACGTGGTAAATCTGTTGGTTTCAATAACTCAGTCTTCTGGTAACGAAAGGGGTACAGTTGTTCTCTGGGTATACTCCAAATACTACTCCCCGATACTCCGTACATCAGTCTTCGCGTGCTAGTGTCCGGTCGAGCTTCGACACTCTCCAAAACAGCCTCTTTAACATTAGCAATTCTATTAATGTAACCTACCCTGATCATGAGCTGCAGGTTTAGCAGATCCGTCCTCTCAAATATGCTGTAGAACGTTCTTAAAAGTGCACATACTTATCAGACAACGATTTGGGAAGCGTTCTGAAAAAATTCTTTGGGCGTTAGCGCCATCTCCCCGAGCGTTACCGTGGTCTAAAATGATATCGGCGTATTTAAGATTTAAGAACAAAGTCATGTCAACTCACTTCGTCTATAAATTAGAAATCTGTACCAAACAAACTTTAGCTGTTTCGAAAAATTATAAGATTTGATTTTGCGAATTTTATTTTTGGATGAAAATCCTTTTAAGTTAAAACAGGTGTAATAATTAAGAACCACCCACGAAAAAAGATCATTACAAAGTCAGGCACCTTCGTTCATCTATCGGTCAAAACCCTCTTATGAGCTTTGTCAATGATTTTTGGTATGGCGGCAAGTTTTGGTCCTCAAGAATGTGATGCGTCTTCAGTGGATATTCTCCTGCGCTTGAACTCATTAACTCAGAGGCGAATGGTTCTGGAATTCCTAATAACGATTACTACTTTTTCTAGGTTTTCCTCAGTTATACAAGTTCTCCTAGGTGTTAAAATTGCTTTAAAAATTAAAAAAGACTGTTCAACATCTCAATTTTCGTGATGATCTTGATTAGATAAATCCTGAACTGAATCAAAAGCCACGAAAGTTGAGTTTGCACAGTCCGCCAACCTAAACATCACGACTGTACGACGTACAGGGGCAACAACAAACGCTAAAGTAGGCTCATTTCACACAGTTTTGTCGTATGCCAGACAGTTTTCATTGCGCAAGCAATAAAAAATACCTACAATAGTGCATGTTTGAAAAGTTTGCAGTCCAAATTGATTGAAAAATTTCAAAAAATGTTAATAATGATTTTAAGAATGGCTAAAAAACTTTTAACCCATCGCCGATTGAATACTACTGATTTTCTTAGTGCAATGGAACCAGACGGACGTACGTTAAATTACCCCGTCCGCTAAATTAGCGGACGTAATTACGTCTTTTAAATAGCGTACATCTCTAAAACACGCTGTTGCTAAGCAACCCAGACCTTAGCGTATACGTCTTTTAAAAAAACGCTATGCAAAATCTCTCTTTTAATTAGAGAGTTTTTGCATTACGTACGATAAAGTTCCGTTAACCCTAACCTTACGTCTTTGAAGACGGACGTATTAAATAGCGGGAGTTACAATTGAGAATTTTTGCAAAACGTCACGACGGTACGACGTACAGGGGCAACAATAAATGCTAAAGTAGGCTCATTTCATATAGTTTTGTCGAATATCAGACAGTTTTCATTGCGCAATGATTGCGCAAGCAATAGAAAATAGTTACAATAGTGCATGTTTCAAAAGTTTGCAATTTTGCTCCAAAATGATTGCAGAATTTTCCTTTACAAATCTTGTTTAAAAAATGTTAATCATGATCCTAAGAATGGCTAAAAAAACTTTTAACCCATCGCAGATTGATTACAACTGATTTTCTTACTACAACGGAACTAGACGGGCGTATGTTAAATTCCCCGTCCGCTAATTTAGCGGACGTAATTACGTCTTTTAAATAACGTACAACTCTAAAATACGCTGTTGCTAAGCAACCCAGACGTTAGCGTATACGTCTTCTGAAAAAACGCTATGCAAAATCTCTCTTTTGTCTGATTGATTCCTCATCACTTCGGCTTTGCCTAACTCAAACATAGCTAAGAAACATCCAGATTGAACCAACTTTCTACTAAAAGAATCAGCATTAAAATCGGTTCATTCATTTGGGAGCTACGTTGCCACAGACAGACATGCACAGAGACAAAGAGATGAAAATTATAATACCCCTTCTTTTTTAGTCGCGGGTTAATAAAGATATGCATGTAATGTTCAAGTGAAGGTAAAGAAGCGTGCTATGCGTTTGTTTCAACACAAAATTTTGTGATGGCGTCATAAACCTTTTGGCAAGGACACGTATATCCATTTGGATAGATGCAATGTAACACTACTAATAACAGTACTGTATTCCCACATTTTCGGGAAAATGGAGTGAGTCGTTCTTGAATTTTGACTTAATCAATACAATAACAAAACAGTTTAATTACGTCTGCCATGTGTAGTAGGATAGGAGGGGTGCAACTAAACTAAAAAGCTTTTATAAGAACTCGTAATCTAAGACAAATAGCGATGCGATAACCCTTATGGGGATTGTACACGTGGGAGTAAAACAGAGAATCTAAACTAAACGACATTTTCTACGAACCGCAGTAACCGAATCCCAGTGCGTTACAATCACAATTACTATTACACTATCTCTATCATCTTATCTAAAATGGTACGTGTCCTTGCAAAAATGTTGATGACGTCATCACAAAATTTTGCAATAGAAAAACTTACATACATATTACATACATATCTTTATTTTAACTTATAACTACTATAAAAAAATACAATTACCAAAATCTAATCTTATAATTTTTCGGGGCAGCTAGATTTTATGGGGGAGGGAAATTCTATCGAAATAATGTTCGACCAATTTTTTGTAACTCATACAGTGTGCAATTTTAGAATTTTATGGAAAGATCTTTTGATGCAAGTGAATAGGGGTGAAAAGCAAGCTCAAATTGACTTCTAATAAGAGCAATAGATTTCCATGAATATACTACTATGGTTCATTAAACAAGATCCAATCTTCTAGTTTAGATTAGAGCACAATGGGACGAAATTATATACACATAGCATGTCATCCGTCTAATTCAATAAGTTGTATCATTCAAGAAATCTGGGATGATTAAACGGGTAAGTAAATTATAACAAAGAATAAACGCGAGGATCAAAACCTTACGAAATCTATACGCTACGCAAGGCAAAGGAAGCAACAGGCCGTCTAGCGCAGAATCGCTAGAACAAGACAAATCAATACATGAGGGGTTGAAAATAAACATGGCTGACAGTGAGTTTGAAGAATTTAGACACAGTTTTGAAAAACTGCCTTCACACACAAAAAATTCTGCGCAATTTTATTCGTAAGTATATGTTGTGTATAACGCGGGCATAATATATAAAATAGATATTTTTTGACGCAAGCTATAGACAGCTTCCTGTTAGGTATTGATTATTATTATTTTTTTTTATAGAATAGTTCATGATGTTGTCGTGGATGAAGAATCGCCCACGTCTTCCAAAAGCGACCCCGAAACTGACTGTGATATTGTTCGAGAGGAAAGGCTTTCCGTTTCCTCTGCAACTGAAAAAAAGGAGTCTTCACTGGGAACTCCTATCCCGCCTTGGACGGGTGAGCGCCGAAGGCGAAAACTACCGGAAATACCAAAAAATAAAAAATGTAAGTGATGAAATTACAGAATATAGATGATACTTTTTAACTCTTAACGTTTAAATTTTTGTTATCACACACTATTGTAATACACACTAAAATGGTTAACTTTGTGCAGTCATTTGAAAAAAATATATTGCCACTTGTAGCAGCACTTTTAATTGATTGCGGAAGAATATTTTATAGGGTATTTAATTTGATAAAGTATAAATACACCGTTTTAAGTTGAATATGGATTTTTTTTGCGTATATATTTTACAAAATATTTAAAACTTTGTACATTAGCGCATTTTAAGGCATTTGTTACTTAAAGTATTCCAATTATTCAATTTGGCTACTGATGACAAAAAGTTAAATAAATAATTATGTGTTTCCAAAAATTATTCAAAATAAATGGAAAATCGGGAAATATCGACTAATTATTCGCATTAATTGTAAGTTAACAACAAAAAGTGAAAATTTCTAAATATTTATTATAACCTCATATTATAAACATCATCTAGAATTTATTGTACAATAGAAAAACTGTCACTAATTACAAACAGGCGAGGAAACAATTTTATTTGCTTAATATCAGTCATAAAGATTTTTCAACCGTTTCTTTGCAATCGTACATTCATTACAAATTTTGCTTTCATTGTGACTTATTTTGTCGATATACATATCATTTTTTACATCTTCTTACTCGGTATATTTATGAATTCTTCTAATATTTAAAGTTTTCTGAAAACCTTCATATTTCCAAAACGCAGTTTGTTATTACGCGATGCTCTTTTCAAACGTAATGGAATGCACAGTCGCTACCATAGAAAATTGAACCATTTCGAAATAACAAAGTTTTAGTTGCTCATTATTCTTTGAAATATTTGTCAATTATTATCATATAGGTACGATTTTTTTTTAAATTTGGAACTGCGTGTCTTGTCAAAAAAATATCATTTTATGACATTTTATGACATGTGGTTCACACCGAGGAAAGCATATTAATTGATTTTTGAAAAACGATTTATAATGTTAAAATTTTTAGGGTTTCAGTTTTTTATGTCCACCGATGCATCTTCATTAAAAGTGGGTATAGGGATTTCCGTCTTAAATTTCATACCACATGTTAACTTATGTTTGAGTAAAAATTTAGAGTTGAAATTTTTACTAAGTAGATGTAATTTGGGTCATCTTTTGTCGCTTTTGTCGAATGGTTATACTTTAAATTAAATGATATTCTTAAAAAATAGTAGATTGTTTACTAAGTAAAGAAAATTGGTAGCTTTCCAGTGAGTGTAAAAGGTTTAACTAACGAGCGAAGCGAGATAATTAACCTCGGCAAACAGAATGGAAAATACAGATTTCTTACAGACTCACCATGCCATTTTTTCTTGTATTTAGTTATTCAAAGTGTAAAACAGAATTTCAAAATAATTTTTAAAATATGATAATCATGTCTGCTTAAAATTGCACATTTACCATAACAACATGCCTGTTCATAACAACCAAATAAATACGCTATAAAAATGCAAAAAATGGGCAATTCTAAAGATCTTGGCTTTTTTGGCGAAGCTGCAGGAGCAATTGAAAATTTAGTACTTATGATATCGAAACACAAATATGAAAAATGTTACAAATACTTTAACGAATGGTGAAGGACAAAAAATTCAAATGAAGCGAATAAGATGGTTTTGCTTGTTGGTTGCTAACTAGAAAAGTGTTGCTAAAGAGAAAAATGGCCCTTTTCTTTATTATCATCTTCTCTTCTTTTTCTTCTCCTTCTCTTCTTCTCTTATATCTAAAAATTATTATTTGTTTTTTTGTTTGTTTATTTGTCCGGTATGCGTTCGTACATCATTCGCTCAATTGCGACGAAATTTTGGTAAGTTGTTGTTCACACGCCCACGAAGGTTTTTGAACTAGTACAATATTTTTACATTATTCGTTCGTGTGTTTTGAACACTTCAATACCCAGAACTGATGCATAAGCATTTTCTTTAAGTGGCATTGCAACGCATTCCGGGCTCGTGTGGCAAGAATCTTTATTCTATAAAAATAGGTCGAAAGGTGTTGTTTCGATAGAACTTCCCTTGTTCCTGAAGTACAATGAAACGTACGCAGCATTTTCGAGTTGAGTTTTTTCTTTACACAATTTTGTGATGACGTCATCAACATTTTTGCAAGGACACGTATTTCAACTTGGATTGGTGCAGTGTAATACTAAAAATAATAGTACCGTATTTCCAAAATTTTCTGGGAAAATGGAGTGAACCAATCATAAAATATAATAAAATAAACTGACTAATTCATTAATTTTTTAAGCCACCTGTTTAAGCAAATCTAAAAAATATGAATGCAATGGTAAATCACAATTAAAAACTGATCATATTTTGGGTAGAATTTATTCGGCAAAATTTTGAGATGACGTCATTCATTAATTTTTTGAGGGGAATAAACAGATATATTTTGCTTAACAATTTACCATGCTTACAATAACTTTAAAACGTGTGCAATATTTCAAAGTCCTCAGTTTTGCAATTCTTGATTTATTCAATAAAATAAATTGACTGATTCATTTTTTTTAGTCATAAGAACTTCCAAAAATATGAACGCAATGATAAAGTCACAAGTATAGACTGATCATATTTCGCACAGTTTAGATGGGATTTATTTGACAAAATTTTGAGATGAAGTCATCAATATTTTGCAGTTGATAAGCAAATATATTTTGATTAAAAATTTATCATGCTCATCATAACTTTAAAACGTCTACAAGATTTCAAAGCATTTGGTTTTGCAGACTCAAAATTAAATTGCAAAATGTTGTTTTATAATTTTGATTTTTTTCAAAAATCTAGACATTTCGGGTAAAAACACAACACGACGTCATAGACTACATGTGAAGAACTATGTTACTTTATACAATTTAAAATCCATTTACTATGTACAATTTTGAAGTGACGTCATCACATTATTGGTGAAGACCTATTTCTTCGTCCTCTAGGGCACTAATTTGCATTGTGGCATAAAAAAACTGTCAAAGAAATGTCAAATTTGTCTGTCTAGTTACTTAATTTTTTGAAATAAACGTGCAAACACAGACGTTGCTAAGGCATATCGAAGGCGATAAAAAGTTACTGATATGATAAAAAATAACTAATATGATAAAAAGTAAGTTACTGCTGTCTTTAATAGATCTAGTCGTGCTCCGCTCCGTACTCGTATATCTGTTATAAACACTCGCTTGATATTTGTTTTTTGTTATTTACAATAAATTCCTAGCTCTCACAATTTTTTTAGTGAAATTTTGTATAAATGACGGACACAAATTTGTCATAAAAAAAACAACGTCCTGCTTTTTAATACTAATGCAATAGTACAAAGTGCACCGCAATCGCACGTGATGCACCCTGAAATATTATTGTCTATCTCTGTTGAAAGCACGGAAGATGAGGCTAGCCTCAAGTTTATCTTTTTACTTCCCGAGCGTAAGCAAAGGAAGTATTGTAATCGAGTCCGTCGGCCGACTCTCTACTTTTACGTTTTCTCGATCTTTCATGACCCCTAGAAGACGAAGAAATAGGTCTCCCATTTCCGTCTGTCTGTCCGTCTGTCCGTCTGTCCGTCTGTCCGTCCGTCTGTCTCTCCGTCTGCCGTCCCGGATTTTTATTAGACAGATAATCTCCGAAAGTACTCGACCGATTGTTGTGAAATTTTGTACTTATATTAAGAATATCATGTAGATGGTAAAACGCTAACCAAAATTTGTCTAATCATCCCCACCACTAATGCGATGACGTCACTTCAAAATTGTACATAGTAAATGGGTTTTCAATTGTATAAAATAACATAGTCCTACACATGTAGTTTACAACTCTGAATCGACTTTTCACCCGAAACGTCCAGATTTTTGGAAAAAAAATCAAAATTATAAAACAACATTTTGAAATTTAATTTTTAATCTGCTAACCAGAATGCTTTGAAATGTTGCAGATGTTTTAAGGCTATAAAGAGCATCATAAATCTTTAGTCAAAAAGTATTTGCTTATCCCCTCCAAAAACTTGATGACGTCAGCTCGAAAATTTGCCGAATAAATCATATCTAAAATGTACAAAATATGATCAGTCTGTACTTGTGATCTATCACTCCATTCATATTTTTTGGATTTGCATATACAGGGTGATTCAAGAAAATAAATGAAAGCGTAAATTTATTTTACTGATTTACTCAGGAACTACAAAACCGAATGCTTCGAAATCTTGAAGATATTTTAAAATTATCATAAGCATGGTAAATTTTTGATCAAAACGTATTTGGTCGTCCCCCCTAAAAAATTTATGACGTCACCACAAAATTTTGCTGAATAAATCCTATCTAAAATGTACAAAATATGGTGAGTCTCTTCTTGTGATTTATCATTCCATTCAAATTGTTTCGATTTGCATATACAGGGTGACTCAAAAAAATTAATGAATGCGTAAATTTATTTTATTGATTTAATCAGGAACTACAAAACCGAATGCTTTGAAATCTTGCAGATGTTTTAAGGTTATAAAGAGCATAATAAATTTTTAGTCAAAATATATTTGGTTATCTTCTACAAAAAACTGATGACGTCAGCTCAAAAGTTTGCCGAATAAATCGTATCTAAAATGTACAAAATGTGATGAGTCTGTACTTGTGATTTATCATTCCATTCATATTTTTGGATTTGCATATGCAGGGTGACTCAAAAAAATTAATGAAGGCGTGAATTTATTTTATCGATTTAATCAGGAATTACAAAACCGAATGCTTTGAAATCTTGGGAATATTTTAAAGTTATTATAAGCATGGTAAACTTTTGTTCAAAATATATTTGTTCATCCCTCCTAAAAAAATTGATGACGTCACCCTTAAATTTTGCTGAACAAATCCTATCTAAAATGCAAAAAATATGATGAGTTTGTACTTGTGATTTATCATTCCATTCATATTTTTTAGATTTTCTTAAGGCCAGTCCCCACGTTTTCTCAGCGGAATTTTC